AGAAATGTGTACTCTTTTTTTACTATTTTTTAAAATATTTTTTCATTACATTGCTGGCCATGAGATTCCTATCAACTTATTTGAAAAATTGGTAAATTCGCTAATTTAATGACTAGGGAAGTAGGGTTCAGCAAAACAATGATTTATCAATTTTGTTAATAATAGTAATGCAATTAATTTTGCATTTACGTCGTATATATCGAATGAATTTGTATTCGGAAGAGACATAATTTCGTTAAATGTATCTGTTTCGGTGACAGGATTAACAAAGACATTTTGTTTGTATGTTGGTGATGTGTACAATAACGTCATAACGGTTCAGTTTTATGTTAGTCAAATTCAATATAAATTTAGTGGCAATATCTACAAAAAAAAAAATATTAAATTCATATGGACTATTTACGAAGAACTGAAGAAAGGTAATTACAACAATGGCCACTTTTATGTTTTCTTCACGTTTCATGACCTCTCGAATACAAAAAAAGTATTCTTCCGTTTGCGTTTGTCTATCTGCCTGTCTGTCTGTCTGTCAGGTGTCTGTATCCGAAACTATTGGACCGATTGTTGTCAAATTTTGTATGTATATTAGAAATATCATGTAGATGTTTAAACGCTAACCAAAATTTGGCTATTCGTCCCCACCAACAACGTGATGCCGTCCCGTCAAAATTTTTAACGATTTAGTTTTAATCACAATTACTTTCCAAACATGTTTCTGCAACTGCATTGTAGGTGCTTGGGTTGAGGCGCCGGACGATGACGATTTGCCGCTTAGCAAGGGTTCGAACCTCGTTTTCATCCTCGTTAGAAGTTTTTCTTTAATCAAGTCAAGAACGGTTCACCTAGTTTATACGAAAATTACAGTAATGTCACACCACAAATAATTTTTATTGTGATAAAGCTCTTCACTGTAACTGTATTAATCTCCTCTGTTTTTTTCTTGGTGCTTTGAGGATTAGAGAATTTTGCTCTTTTTCCTTTTTAATTTTATGCGCTCTAAAAACAATCGTGGTAATGTTGCATTGGATTTTTATGCTCATTGGTAGGTCCTTCCACATCGGTTGCCCATTTTGCTCATTCAAAAAGTATCTCAATGGAGTTGCATCTTTTCTAAATCAGATTTAAAAATTTTAATCAAACTCCGAAAGCAGCGAAACTTGTCTGGTTTATGCATTTTGATTTTTACATTCGAAAATATAATATAAAATCTCAATTTCTGAAAAATTCGAGTTACGCACTTTGAGAATTACGCCGACGATATTTTCTAAAAAATAAGGCACACACTTTTGCGCGTTAAGCTACAGTTTTTTTTTCGGAGAGGATTTTAGCCAACCCAAACGTTTGCATTAACATAGATAGATAGAGTCTCCGGGTCAAAATATCTTAGTTGGCAACCCTAAATGGGATTTATTGGGCTGTACTTCAGGGGAGAGGAAAATCCTGTAGAAATAACCTTCAACCAATTTTTCAAATAATCATAATTTCCAACAATCTCTTGTTTTGTTTTTCGAGGTTTGGATAAATTGATTAAAGACTGAGTTTTTAGTGTCTGTAATATATATATTTTTTTAAATTGTAAACATTTATATCATTTAAACTATTCATTAGAGTACTAACTACTTTTAAGGCAGAAAATTTTTAATTTGCATTGAACCATTTGATAGGTGATGAGTCAAATTTTGTACGTGTCTCTTTGAAAGGCAGAGATTTACCGACACCTTGAATGTATACGTGAATCAATGTATATATCTTTTGATTTATATTTTCATTGTAGATAAATACTCAGTTCATATTTTGCAAATGAAACTTGAATTCCCGTTAAATTCTTGAATCTATTTGGACTTATCATACGTCTTTTAAAAGTGGACACTGGGATTTTATGCACATTTAATTTCATGGAAATTCTGTGCCTTTTATGATCAGATACCCCGATTCAATAATATCCGTTTTAGTGATTATCATTTATGTTAATGACCATATTGTCAGTGCCATGAAGCTAACGATGATACAACGCTGGTAGGTTCAATAATTGTAATTTTAAGGCCAATTTGGTTTAAAATTTCGGCTCCTCCAAATTTGATCTTCATTCTACAATAACATGATATTAGGTTGTAATTTATTATTTTCAATGTTCTGATGATACAAATATGCACTAGACCTCAAATTTATGCTGTTCCAAAAAAAAAAAGAAAAAATGTCAAGCTATGTTAATGTGAAATACGTAAAAAATTTCTGTAGGAGCAATTTAACTAAGCCTTAATTGCGTTTAAAAAGAAATTGATCGGCCGAAAATCATTACGGTCCTAAGTTTTATAGTAAGTTATCGAAAGAAATTACTGCCTTACCCAATAACATGTTTAAGGAAAAAGATTAAAAGCGGTCTATTGAAAAATGCTTTTAATGCGGTTACTCAGTACTAGTTAGATATTTTCATTTAATGTTACTGTTTATTTTGGACCACTGTATATCATGAAACACTATTATTATTACTATTTAAAAAGTAGAATTTCAGCCAGTTAAATAAAAATTCCAAGTAAGCACTCGTACCTATTTAGAGCACCACCTTTTTTTTATGTGGAAATTCTATAATAATAACAATCAAGAGTTTTTATGGGGGCAAAAGTGAATTTAAGCACTGAACGTGGAGATTTTACATATTTAATAATCTCTGGTTGGTAATTTAATAAGATACATAATTTATTAAACTTATTAATTTTTAAACATTCGAATCATTTAGTTCTGAATCCTCGTTACAAAATGCAAAATTTTGGACATTCCATTAATTCTATGATTTTCATTGCTTAGTTTTATTAATAGTCTATGCTTTTTTTGGGTTTTGATATTCTGTCATTGATCGAATTTCGTTTCTGTTTTCCCAACTAGGGGAGCGATCTCCATAATTTACCAAGTAGACTAGAAATTCAAATGGGATTTATCTTTAGAATTGTTGATAAATTTATTTAAAAAAATATTATTTCTAAAATAAACTTTTTCAGAAGTTCGTTACTTGATTTTTGTTTTTAAACAAGTTATCTACAATTTGATCTGAGAATTCATTATTATTAATGATTAAGTGCTCGCTAATAATAACAATAAAGGAGTACCACCTTATGAGAGGGCGAATCTGTCGAGATTGCGACCCTAATTATGTATAATTAGTTCTGAACAGCACAAGAAATGGAATTTAGGTGAAGCAGAGAAAGTGACAGTGGAAGCGGTCATTTTGTTAGATATAGCGGCGCGATTTGAAATAAAAAACGTACCTCCCTAGGAAGATTTGATTAAGAAAATTGTTAAAAAGCTGAAGTGGAACTTGACAAGTGTATTAGCTCAATCTTTGCTAAATAGATGGATGTATGTTTGAAGTTTAAAATCCAGAGGACTTTCAGCTATGGTTATCACCAAACAGAACAGGATTTACCATCATTTTACCCCACTATAGACTCACTAGTCTAAGTATTTCGATGCAACATGGTATGAAGGAATAAGGCAAAAACGAAAACAAATTTCTCAAAGAGCGCAATTATCACGAAACAACTAAAGAATATCCAGAATTTTCGGCGTTCTGTGATAATATTCTTTGTAATTTCTTAAGTTAAGTTAGAGTTTATATTGTGTGCTTTGAATTTGATTGCATTCATTTTGTTGTAAATGTTCTCTCTCATGAATACATTTTTCATTACTGCTTAGAGCAACATTAAACAATGCATTTGCGAACACAATTTAAGACGTATATGTATACTAAATAAGGTCATTACAATATTAACGCACTTTCATTCACTGTTCTTACTTCAAAGCAAAATGTATAAAATGGAGCATTTAAATTTTTAATGAAAAATGAGATTACACATTCAAGAAATCAGTGCTAACACAGACTTATTCGACAAAATTATTTTGTTATTGAAATGCAGAGTTATAAAAATATATGTCTCTATGAATAATTTTTTGAAAAATTCTTTGATGATTCTCAAAAAAATCAGCATTCTTATTATGCAAAGGATCATTTTGCTCCCTCATTAGTCATTAAGAAGTAGCTAATACGTATTTCATTTTGTATCGTCAAGTGTAATATTTTTGTTGTGCCAAATTTACCGTGCGTAATAATCCATATCCACTTTTTTGCCTCCGTTCTTTCGAATCAACATTATATGAATGAACTTCAGTTTTTCTTCAAATGTAGCAACAATAGCATTGCCAAGGAAAAATACTTGTAGATGCATTTTAGATTAACAAATCATCAAAATTCATACAATAAATGTATGCATATAATTTTTGGTTTAACATTATTATTATCAGTATTACAATTATACTTTAATCACTAGATGTTCAATGCATTCGATATTGTCTACACAGAAACAAATCATTTAATAAAATGTGATTTTAATGCCGATTTAGGCTATTTTTGTCGAAATTTTTAGGTATGTAAATTTTACTACTTCTGTTTACAAATATACGTAATCGACATATATCTGTATAGGTAAAACATTTTTCATAATGGCGTAATTAAAGCCGCTAACATTAAAAGATTTTAACTTCTGCACTCATTGTCTAAAAAAGTTCGAATTCCCAAATTTCATTGACTTAATAAAAATAAATTTCATTATATTTCGTGGAACCAACATCTGCTTAAAATAACAATAAAATTCTCCTCTATTGCGTATTTTTTCTTAAGAATAAGTTGCTCTTCTGTCGATCTGCTCTCACGGAATCGTATTTTCGACTGATTTTCGCAAGAAAGACGATTTTTTACATATGTTTTCGAACACGCGTTTTTTCTGTGAACTCCCATAAAAATAAAAGCTCCTAACATATAACGACACAATAAATAACACGTTATGTAACATAGCCGACAAGTAAGTTTCATGTTCAAAACATATGTCATGATCAGAAAACTCGCACACACCTCTACTGCATGACTGTTGCAAAGCTCGCGCAAGCTCCATGGAGCTTTCATTATGGTCCAGCGCCGAGACGCTTGATACCGTAGTCATTGGCGACGTTCCGGTGTGATTGCATCTCGCGTCGCGACGCTCCAATCTCATTTACCGATTTATTGATAGCGCTCTCCAGGAGCTTTCTCGTTGTGCACTTTGTATCAGCTGTTGCAACTGCAAGAGCTCTATTCTGCTCCAATTGGGTAAGTGGGACATTCTTGTTTTTCTCAATTGTTTGCAACATTAATTTGTGTTGGAGAATTTAATTTAAAGTAATGATTATGGAGCTATAAAAATTGCAATTTAACTACAACACGGCATAAAATTTAATTGTAAATTACTTATTTTTTTATTGAGTTTAATGATAAAATGGTGTAATTGTTTATCGTGTACTGAACCCTGCTTGTTTCTGTTTTATTTATTATAAGTGATCACTGTATAGATTTAGCGATATTGCAAATTATTATTATTATTAATTGGGGGCGTGGCTGTTAAATGTGAATTCACTTAACCTAGGATGTCCTGGAAAGTCCATAATTTAACGATGCTCACCCGTGATAATAGTGTTGATTATTTTTAACAAACGTTGCGCAGAAAATATCGAATTCACTTCGTTTAATGAGGATATTTTTGGTGGCTTAAAAGATTTGGTTTGAAATATCCAACAGCTTGTTATAACAAAAAGCTTTATTCTTTGAACTTTTTGTTACATGAGTTCCCTACATAACCATCAAATTTAACTTTGAGAAAATTTTACTTTAACTTCAATTTCAAACTGTGAAATCCGAAATTCCTTACATTTATTTTGTGTGAAAGTAGGTAATAATGAATACACAAATAAATCATTAATTGCAACTTTGTATGCAGAGATTTTGTGGTAATGCGTTGTTGATAATTTTGTAATAATAACATTTTCAAACATAGGAAATCTCCCCTTCTGTGGGGTGAAGTGTAAACCAGGTGATGTGCATGTGCATTATCTCATGACTCCCGTTATTAATACTCTTGATATATTCACTTGTTTACTGTTAAAACATATGTAATTTTCATTGTAAATTGAAGCAACAAATGTATAATCAAAAACTGACATTTTCCTAACATTCTTCCAGAAGTATTTGGTGTCAGGTAAGGTCTTTCTTACAATTGTCTCATAGTGCCTGTTATATTTTGCTAATTGCAAATTATTTTATTATTATTAGGTATTATTAAGCTACAATAAAATTATTATTAAACCAATCCAAACTAGTTAGTAATGATGTTAGAAAAACGATAAAGAGGATTAACTTATTCAGAACACAAAAAACTGTAATTTCCGATCATAGAACGAATATTTTCCTGTTAAAAACAAGAGTTTTTAAAGTTTATATACTTAGTAGCCCTTCTATAAGCTAAAAGTGTCGTAATATGTATAAAGTATTGTACACTTATGTACGTTACATACTTAAACTTCGTCGCTGATTCTGCTTCTGGTAGATATTTAGTTCCATAAATTCTGCCAGGAGCTTCGCTCGCTTTCAGTAAGTTCTTTATTTGCTGCGTTGGCACCACGCTGGTAATTAATATGGACAACTTAACACTTTTATATATAAATCTGAAGTCTACAACAATTTACTAAAAATATGTACAATTTTCTGTGGTAGGCTCATGAAGTATTTCCTTTCATTTGTTTGTATATGTACAGTAGAATAAAGTAAATACTGTTGACAAAGTTTAATTCGAATTTTCACCTTCCGCCCTCCACATTTTATGTTTTATTTATTTTTAGAAAATGTGCGGGCGTAATGTCGTATCCTTCGTTACATATGTTTGTGTAACATTGCATACGGCTTCCTTCTATTGTACAATTTTCCATTTAATAATGGCAAATCTTCCCTAGTCGTTAAAAAAAGGAATGCTTTGACACTCAAATCTGATTGTAAGACGCTGCTTGCAGCTTCCAAGCTGTGAAAATGAGTTTGTGCTTTTGGCTATTTGATGTTTACTATTATGTATTAGTTCGAACAACATAAGGACAATTTCTTATAAATGTGTACACAGGTATCCCCGATAAAATTCCGCCGCCTAATATCTTGAAAATGGATAGAGATATAGAAATTCTGTAACCGCCATTGTTTTTAGCTTGAAAAGTGAAGCTTAATTTATAATGTCGGCGTCGTGACATAAACCCATATTTTTGCAATGTAGATATTTTTTGACGGATTTTGATAGATAATTAAATTACAGTTACAATAATACATATTGAAAACTTATAAAAATAAAAAAAAATAATTGAATGAAATGAACCAGTAAAATTTGTTTCGAAAACACCCATTTAATTCTATGTTAGAATTGTCGTCCTTCACAATAAACAGAAAACATCGCGATTAATAACCTAATCACGCGTTAAAAAGGCTCCAACAATATACCCATTTTTTTCTTAAATCAGGCAAAGGTCACAAATTTTAAATGTAAGTTCACAACAATAAATCTACGGACCGTGAAACTGGGCTGCCAGCTGGCCATTCCGTAGGGTGTCTATTATCGATTTCCATAATAAATATATATTTTTTTAATTAAAAACTGAACTATTTTCGACAGGCAGCAAAGAAACGTTGCACTAGTTCAAGATTTCTGACGTTAAACATTAACAATAATAATGTAATTGTGTTTCCACATTTGTATCTGTGACAATATACATGGTAATTCGAAATATCTCTTAATTTATATATTTTTAAGTTAAGACGAATACAACACATAGGAGTGTTTTGCATCATTGTAATCATATATATTTAATGGTATATCAAAATCTGTTAAAAAATATGTACTTTGCAATTAAAAAAAAAATGTGGTAAATTAAGCTTCCCCTTCAAGTGGCGTTAACAGAATTTCAATATCTTTATCCGTTCTCAAAATATAAGGTCGTGGATTTTTGTGTAGGATAAATTTCAAAACACAAAAGGTGCAGCTTTGACATTTAAAACGTATGGATGAATAATAATCAAATGATGCGTCATAGCGATGCGCTGTGATATTAAAATCTCAAAAATATGACACAGCTAACAAATTATAAATAGCATGGAGGGTCGAGTGAACTCTATCTTGAGAGCTTATTTCATTCTACACATGATACCAAAGCTAAAAACAAACTGTGCAAAAAAGGAAATAAATATATTTATTAAATATTTAAAGATTGGTCGACGATTACTTCCACAGAACTTCCCTCGCCCATAAAATCCAGCCGTTTCGAAAAATTATAAGATATACTTCTGCGTATTTTATTTTTTTTATGATAACCCTTATAAGTTAAAATAAAGATACATGTGTGATGTTCAAGTAAAACTGAAGAAGCGTACTACACGTTTGTTTTAAGTGAGTTTTTCCATTACAAAATTTTGTGCTGACGTCATCAACATTTTTGCAAGAGCACATTTCAATTTGAATAGATCCAGTGTAATAATAATAATAACGGTACTGAATTATCAAATTTTCGAGAAAATAGAATGAGTCGTTCTTGAATCTTGATTTAATCAATAAAATAACGAAACAATTTGATCACGTCCGCCATCTGTAGTAGCAGAGGTGCAACTGAACTGCAAAGCATTTATAAGAACTCGTTATTTAAGGCAAATTGGGATAACGCTTGTCGAGAGTGTCTACACGTGAGAGTGAAGCAGAGAAACTAAACTAAACGACATTTTCTACTAATTTTAATAACCGCATCACAGTGCAATGGTCCAGACTTCTAGTGCTTTTATTGTAACTCCCATTTGGTTAATTGGAACTTGTCTAGGTCGAGGGGAGGCAGACATTTCTCTAGCGGAGGCTCAGCCTAGCTACGACCCCATCTAGAGATCATGAAATATCGAGGCAGTATGCAAGTACCAAGTTCCCCGATAGACTCAATTACTATATCTCCTTGGCTCAGTAAGTAAAAATGGCGTCCGAGCAATAACTTGAAGTGTTTATGTTCATATATTGGAGGAATGTAAAAATTAATTAAGGCACAATCGAACAAAATGTTCCGAAGATTACTAAATAGGAGTATTATAATTCTTATTTAATCATTATTTAAAAATAAAGTTGTGCGTGTTTTCACATTTTGCAGAAAATCGGGTGACTCGTTGTAAATATCATCAGTTAATAATTGAATGGTGATTAATTTTATTGTAAATTTATTTTGTCTAATAAAAAAGATGATAGGATGGTTAAACAGCAGTATTTTGATCAAAAATTTACTGTGCTTGTGATAACTTTGAAAAGACTGCATTGCAGTTCCTGATTTAACCCATAAATAAACTGACTCATTTATTATCCTTTTAAGTCACCCCTTATATCCAATTCTAGAAATATTATTTTATGAAGGCAATGATAAATCACAAGTATGGACTCATCGCATTTTGCACATTTTCTATAAGATTTACTTGGTAAAATTTTGAGATGATGCCACCATTTTTTTTTAGGGGGGGGGGATAAAGAGATATATTTTTATTAAAAATTTACTCTGCTTGCAGTAACTTCGAAATGCCTACAAGTCCTGTCACACTGTATAAGCAAATCTAAAAAATATGAATGAAATGATTAACCATAACTATAGATTCATCATAGTTGACACATTTTATTTTGATTGAAAATGTACCATACTTATGATAGCTTTAAAACATCTGCAAGTTTTCAAAGCATTCAGTTTTGCAAATTCAAAATTAAATTACAAAATCTTGTTATATAATTTTGATTTTTTTTTACAAAAATCTGAACTTTTTGGATAAAAACTTAACACGGATTCATAAACTACACTCATTTTGAAGATGATAATGTCGTGTAGTTTATATCCTGATTTTGTTAAGAACTAACCAAAGTCACTTATTTCCTTTTTTTGTGCTGATGATTATTTTACTTAGCAAACGTAAGGAAAATATTGTAATATTCGGCGAATGGTTAATTTCATATGTTCTCGACGTTTCATATGACCTCTAAAATATAAATTTATGGGGGGATTACAAAAAAAATTAAATTCGCAAAATCAAATTTTATAAAATACTAGCTGACTCGGCCAACTTCATACCGCCTTAAAATTAATAAATGATTCGCGTGTCATTTTTCCAATACTTTCTGTTAAACTATTTGCTAAATGGGTTGTACTCGTGTAGACTATCTTCATTGAAGCACCTTGTGATATATGATATTTTTCGTTTTGTTTCCAGGCGCGAGAATTCAAAACAGCGCA